GAATATAGTCATATAATATACTATTATTTGATAGGTTATGGTCTTGAATGAAGTAGTTAGGATCAAGTTGAGTGCTTCTTCTTATTGTTAGCTTAGTTAGATTTTTATTTGAAAAGTTAATGACTTAAATAATTATTTAATAATTTTTTTATTAAAAATAAAAAATTTTAACTTTAAATTATATGATATGTGAAGAAAATAAAATAAAAGATGAGAAAATGTTACCCTTATTGTATAAATAATATAAAAAAAATTATAAACAGTGAAAAGACAAAGTAGACACTTGAAAGTACAAAGAAGAAACCGTTGTATTGGCGTCCAAGAAAGGTCCCACCGAACCCCGCACACATTTTATATCTTCGAAAGAGCACACAGATTCCATTTTCCTCATCCCTTCATTCTCCCCTCAAAATTTTCCATCATTTTCCCAGAGAAATTACCCATGCCTTCCCCAGTCGGCTCCCCCACAAGCTCCCAGTCGGTGACTCAGACCGTCAACGGCTCTCACAGTTTCACTATCAAGGGCTACTCCTTGGCCAAGGGCATGGGCATCGGGAAGCACATAGCCAGTGAGAGCTTCACCGTCGGCGGCTACCAGTGGGCTATCTACGTCTATCCCGATGGTAAAAAGCCGGAAGACAACTCTACCTATGTGTCCGTTTTCGTTGCCCTAGCTAGTGAGGGCACCGACGTCAGGGCTCTCTTCCAGCTCACACTTTTGGACCAGAGCGGAAGGGGCAAGCATAAAGTGCATAGCCATCTCGAGAGCGGCCCTTATATGCTCAAGTATCGGGGCAGTATGTGGTGAGTTGATTCTTCAAGAAATTGTTGTGGATTCTATTTCATTCCTAAGCAACTTCAATCATTAATAGGATACATGAATTTGTTTAGCTTATATAGTTATCTAAGAAATTTTTCGTTAAACTAGATAAAAAATTATGTAATTTGCAAGGTGATTCATGCCCTGGATAGATCTTAGAACAAAGGAAGCCAGTGGAGATCATCATGAGGTAATTAAATTGTGATCAATTGATCATCTAATACGGAAAAGAGATCTAAAGAAATGATTAATGACATGCATAACTCAAAAAATTTTGAACTTATTGAGTGGGAATGATTAGGAGAAGGGATTAGAAAACAAAATGGGATTTCTGTTCTTATTGAACTGTTTTTTAATCTTGATTAACTCATTGAGGGAGTGAATCTTGTTTAAAATGAGCAAGAAGTGTATCCATTTTCATGTCAAGAAGATTCAATGAAGTTTCGAAGCTATTTTAAACCTAGATTTGTAAAGTTTTCCTCCACAATTATTGAACATGTTAAAGATGTTTAAATTCAAGAATACCTTTCTTGATGAAGTTCTTGAAATTCATAACTCCAATTTCAAGGCAGAAAAGTAGGTAGGTAAGTTCTATGTATTATCTTCACCTCCTCCACGATAAATCTTGCCATATTAAATTATGCTGCAGTGATGCCACCCTTGTCCATAAGACATATTCAAATTTTATTTGTTATCTATCTCTGTCTTTCTTTAACTTAAAGTTGGTCTATGTGGCAATTTTCATTTACTCATGATTATAAATCACATATTGCACTTTAATAACCATGTTGTTATTGTTTCAGATCTTAAAATGGATTTATTTCTAAATGGCACATGCGAAAAATAAGCACGTGGTTGTCCTGGCTGCACAATGCAGTCATTTTCTTCCTATTGTGGGAATTCCGAAATTCTATGCCTCCTTTTTTTTCCTTCTTTTCTCTCTGTCTGAACATATATGAGGCAGCAGCCTACTTGAGGATTCCTTGTTATCCATATTTCATTTTCCAGCTTTCATGCCTTTTCTTCTGTAATTTTACCTCCTCTTTTTATAACTTGTGATCTCTTCTTTGAGTGAAGATGAGGGTGATTGGGGTTAGAGAGGAAAATAGTTTTAGGAAAATACCATGAATTAACTTGTTCTAGTGGACTGCGTTCCTTATTTTTCTAGCCCATACGAAATTATGAGAAATCTCTACCTAACAAAAAAGGGGGGAAGCCAGTGTAAGGTGCGTCTTGTTTTTGTCTTTCTCAGTGGCATAAACAAGTTAATGCCTCTATCTTTACCAGTTATTTTGTGCATCAACATTAAAGGCACTCTAATTTCTGTGCATTCCTGTGCTTGATACATGCAAGGTTTCTATATTCTCTACTGTGGTCCTATTTGCACTTTGGGATGTTGCATGGATACAGCAGTTTGTTGTTTGGAAAGCCCAATCATTAAAAATTAGATTTGTTCTCCAT